GCGGTGGCTGCCCCTCCCATGTCCCTGATCTGCAGCTGCTGGGGGCTCCGTCCCAGACCCTGGGCCTCAACCCCCCGCCTGGGGTTCCTGAGTGAACACTCCTCCCCAGCGAGTGCTCCCCAGGGGTGTAGGGATGGAGACAGGGGTATGGCCGACCTGCTCCCCATCATGCTGGAGTGACCAGTGGTGAGCTGCCCAGATGTGGACTCTATCCAGGAGTTTCTACCCACGAGGCTCAGGGACTGAGCGGTCTGAAGGACCATCCATGTTATGGGACGGGAGCCGGAGAAGAAGGCAGTGATGGTGCTCTCCTGTCTGAGGTGGGAGAGCAGGTCAGGGTCCCAGACTGGATGTGGTGACTTGCTGGAGGCCACACTGTTGAATTACAGAGAAAAGCAGAAGGGAAATTTGACTTGTTAAATGATTTAAAAACAGAGGACAGGCCCAAAGCAAGAGGGGAGGGGGGCCCAAGTCCTTGGTACAGTGGTTAGTGTGACTCTGCCCCTGGCCATCAGCTGTCCCTGGGGAGCAGGGCGGCAGGGCTGAGTGTGAGGCCAGGGACACAGGAAGGGGGCTCGCTGGGTGTCAGCTGAGGAGTTGAGGTCACCATGACAGTGTCGCCTTCAGGACGGGGCCCCTCCCACCCTGGGGCTCATTGCGGTTGGTGAGGGGGGGTGTTCATCCACTCATCTGCCATCATTCCCCGAGTCCCAGTGCAGGGGTAGGAGGTATGAGGAAGTATCTGAATGGCTTTCTCTAGACCAGCCAGCTTGTTCTCAACAGTTAGCTCCACCCTGGGGTGGGAAGATATAAGAGCTGTTTTGAGTGAAGCTTTCCTCCTCTCTTACCTCTGCATTCTGGATGTTTTCTCCCCAGCTGAGTAGGCCCACAGCAAGCCTGGAGGGAGGCAGCCTGTGATGGGAACCTGCCCAGAGTCTCCCCGCCTGTGCCGGGCCCCCTGGATCCTGGGATTCACCAGCCTCCTCCTCAGTTAGTGTCCCAGGTCCCTGAGTGGGAGGATGCTGTGAGAGGTGGGGAGGGGGGCTCCTGTGGGTCTGAGGAAGGACCTGACACCACCTCTGTTGGAGGGCACGTGCAGGGCCTCTGGTTTCCAGCTCAGGGCAGAAAGGAAAGAGGACAATGAGCGTTTGGCTGTGGTGAAGCCTTGCCTGGGTCCCAGGAGCCCTCACGGGGTCCACTCGTGCTGGTCACTGACCCTTGGCTGCTGCATTGGAGTCCTGGGGCTGTGGGAACAAGATCCCATAGACCTGATGGCTTGAACCACATCAAGCTGTTGTCTCACAGTCCCAGAGGCTGAGATCCAAAATCAAGTTTCTGGACAGTGTCTGATGGGAGGGATGGAGAGCGGTGCCGTGGGGAATCAGGACATTCATGTCCTGACTTGCTTAGAGGGACCTGGGGGCCGTGTCCCCTGCCGTCTCCGTGCACCTGGTCTGTGCCGTGTCGGGGGGGGTCCTGCACCCAGGGCACGTGTCTGCCCCGACCTCGTCCTGCACTGGGGGTCAGAGGACGGTGACCTCTGGAGGGAAGGGATGGAGGAGGGGCCGGCAGGGGGCTGAGGGCTGAGTCCCTGTCACGCTACTGGCTGGCCTGGGGCAGGGACAGTGTGACCACCTTCCCACTGATGCAGGTGCTGAGGGCCTGTGGCCTGAGGGCTAAGGGGTGCTGGGCCCGGGGTGGAGACACCAGTCCCATGAGGGAAGCTGGAGGGACTTGGGTGAAGGCCGGCCATGCAGCCTCACTGACCCTGAATCGGGCCTGCCCAGAAGGGGTCCTGACCCACCTCTGTCAGTGCCATCCCAGTCACCTGCTGCTTCATCCACTGCTATCCTGCAGTACTTGAACACACCATGTGGGCTCACAGCCTGTGCAGGTCAGGACCTGGGGCGGCTACACTGGGGGCTGATTGCTAGGGCCTCTCAGATTGATCTCCAGATGTGTGTGGAACTGAAGGAGATCAATGCCAACTGGGAGGATGTGGTCCCCCTCACCCCTCCACGTGGGGAAGGAGAGCAGATCCTGGAGCTGGACTGAGGCAACCCTACTCACAGGTGTTAGCCTGAGTTTGCCCTCCATCTGGGCCACATGGATGTCCCACAGTGCAGCCCACACATGGCAGCAGGCTTATCCCAGAAGTGAAGGACGGGGTGTGAGGGAGATGGATGTCACACCTCTGTGAGACCTGCTGTCCTGAGTGACGGCCATCACTTCAGTTGAACTCAGCTCCTCAGAGCAAGTCACAGGGCGCGGCCCCCACTGCAGGGCCAGGGCTCCCACGGCGTGTGGGTGGTGGGGCCTCTGCAGCCACGGAGGAAGCTCCTCCTACACTTGTGCACTTGGCATTGACCCAAATGTGCTCAGTGGTTTCTACCCGTATGTCATCACGTCCAGACTGTCAGTGTCAGGAGGTGAGGACACTCGGGTGAGCAGTTCAGGACTGTGTTCAAGGGGCCATCCCAGTAAGACCAGGACTCAATTCCAGCCTGGCTCCAGGTTCGCGCTCTGTCCCGCCCCCTGGAGTCCAGGGATCCACCGGGTGGAGTTCATTACCACGATGGGGTCTATGGTTTTCTCCTCGTTCTTATTGAAACACACTCACACTTTTTGTTTCCAATGCCCTAGGCACCTTCAGCACTGCGGTCAGGAGCTCTAGAGCCCGTGAATCTGGAGTAGAGGATTCCAGAAACCTAGTTTCCCTGAAGGGGACTCAAGGAGGTTCTGTGGTGTTTCATGTGACCAGACGTCCAGAAGTACCTCCTGAAGCCAAGCTGGAGAAGATTTCTTGGGCCGTTAAAAACAAGTCAAACTACATAGTCCTCCTGCACGTCTCTCCTGGGGTGGATGTTCCAGAATGGGTCAACCCCCAGGACAAGTTCAAGGAGAGGGTCCATGTGCTCAACGAAACGACCCTGAGGATTGACAAGCTGACCCTCGAGGACAGTGGGTGGTACCGGGCTCGATGCTCCTTCAGCACAGGGATAGAAAATGCCCAGTATTTCCACCTCAGTGTCTACGGTACGTGGTGGCCCCTCCCCCAGGACAGGCTTACCCCCTGCTTTGGTCCCTGGGAGTGTCCGTGGGCCCCTTGCAGGATCCCTTCCAGACCCCAGACTTCAGGCTCTGCTTCTCCCCTGAAATCAGAAGCAGCGTGTTCAGCACGAGTGGAGGCGGGGCTGAGACTCCCAGCAGGGGTGGATCCCTCGGTGCTTCAGGAAAGAAAAAGGAAAAGTGGGGAGGTGGGGTTTTACCGGAACCCTTACTGTGCTCACGGGACACGTGTCCTTAACTGGTGTGGTGGCGGCTGTTGCTGTTGTCACAGATGGACCCACAGGTGTCTTAGCGCAGCCCCAACCCTGTGTGCACCTGTGTGTGGGGCAGGGTCAGACCCATGGCTACCGTGATGAGGGTCAGGTGTCCACAGGGCTGTGCTCCTTTCTGGAGGCTCCAGGTGAGGATCCACATCTTTCCGTCCAACCTGGTATTGTTGGCCACATCCTTGACAGATGGCTCCTTCCTCCACCTTCAAAGCCAGACCTCGTGGGCTGAATCCTTCTGGTCCTGCATCCCTCCCCCCTCCTCCCCTCCTCCATCCACGTGTGAGGAGCCTGCGATCCCACCGCTCATGTCTTGGTATTCAGACCTTCCCTAGTTTAAGGTCAGCTGTTTTGCGGCCTCAGTTCCCCTTTGCCATGAAACCTAAGACACCTGCAGGCTCTGACGGTTAGCACGTGTCATCTTTTTTTTTTTTTTTTTTTAATTTCTAGGAGAGAGAGACAGAGACAGCCTGAGCAGGGGACGGTCAGAGAGAGAGGGAGATAACAGACTCTGAAACAGGTTCCAGGCTCTGAGCTGGCAGTCAGCACAGAGCCCGACGCGGGGCTCGAACCCACAAAACGCGAGCTCATGACCCAACCGAAAGTCGGAGCTTAACCGACTAAGCCACCCAGGCGCCCCTAGCATGTGTCATCTTTGGGGACACTGGTCACCAGTCACGTAAACAACACACGTGGTGACCTCCACACCCTGACCCCTCCTCCTTCTCAGCACCAACTCGAGGCCACCCCCACTCCTAGACTCCCCAGGTTCAGATCTCAACCTCCAGGGACGCAGGAGACGTTCACAGGGCGGCCCTTCCTCAGACACACAGTCAGCACCTCCCTCTGTCTCTGTCTCTGACCCCCCTGTGGAGGGAGACATCCTGCTCCGGGGAGAGCGGCTCCTGCAGCCACTGGTCCCTGAGGTCCCCACACTGCCCGTCAGTCTGTCTCTTGTCTTCCATGTGGACGGCAAGTTTATGCACGTTCTAAATGAGCTCAGGGTGTCCATTCCTTGGGTCCCCACTGCGTTTCCCACAGTGGCCTCTCTGCTGGGGGCCGGGGACCGTTCTCGGGGCACCAGAGCTGCCAGGTGGAAGTTGTGCACCTCGGGCCGTGCGGTCCCGGCCACCATTCGAGCGGAGGAGGAGGGAGCCCAGGCATGAACAGGACAGATCCTTCCATACCGTTCTCGGTCTTCAAAAATGTTTTTTTATTTTAAATGTTTATGTAGTTTTGAGAGAGAGAGACAGACAGACAGAAAGAGCATGAGCAGAGGAAGGGCAGAGAGGAGGAGACAGAATCTGAAGCAGGATCCAGGATGTGAGGAGTCAGCACAGAGCCCGACGTGGGGCTTGAGCTCACAAGGTGCAAGATCATGATCCGAGCCAAAGTAAAATGCTTCATTGTGCCCATAAGACACCCCTTGTCTTCTCTTCCTTTTAGGAGAAATCCCACTTTCTTAGAAGAATCGGGTTCTGGTAGGAAGGGTCTCTATGTATTTTCTCCAAGGTGATTTTGATATGTGCTCAGTCGAGTGAAATAACCTGGGGCTTCACTCAGTATCTCCTCTGCTTAAAATTTCTTTTATAATGTTTTATTTATTTCAGAGAGGGAGAGAGGGAGAGAGAGAGAGAGAGAGAGAAAGAGAGAGAGAGAGAGAGCCGGGGAGTTCAGAGAGGGAGGGAGATACAGAATCTGAAACAGGCTAGAGCCTCTGAGCTGTCAGCACAGAACCCAACACAGGTCTCGATCCCACGAACCATGAGATCATGACCTGAGCTGCAGTCCGATGCTTCACTGAGTGAGCCACCCAGTATCACCTTCTTTAAGGTCACTTGCTGTATATTTGGGGCAAGTCTGTCTTATCTGTAAATTGGACTCACCACCCTCCAGGGCATCAGTGAGATCCGCACGAGGAAGCAGGAGTGTGATGCTCTCCACTCACGGGACACCCTGTCCTTTGTCCCTCCGGCCTCAGAGCCCGTGCCCCGTCCCCAGGTCCTGGCCATGGTTCTGTCCCTCACACGAGACTGGTGCAACGTCACCCTGGAGTGCCACACCCCGGGAGCCACAGGGGCCGTGAACGTGTCCTGGGAGAGCAAGGGCCTCCCCAGGGAGCTGGAGCAGAGAGAGGCCCCAGGAACGGCCCCCAACCCCTGGACCCTGGCTCTGAACCTGCCCCTGAGCCAGCCCAGCCCCAGAGTCACCTGTGTGGTCAGCAACCCAGTGGACCTGAAAAATGCCACCCGGGACCTCGGGGAAGTGTGTGTCCACGGTGAGTGTTCTTGCTTGAGGGGAGGGGACTCCCGGGGCTCAGGTCCCCCTGGTGAGGGTTCTGGGTTCTGTCCCCCATGTTTGTGTCACCACCTGCCCCCTGTCACCCCGTCCAGGATGCTGGCAGGTGCATCCAACTTGCTTCTGCCTTTCATTGTCTTAATCTGCTCCTCTGCACCCCTCACCCCTGCTGCTCCAGGCAGCCCCCCTGCATACCTCTCCCCTCCCTCATCCCTCAGTCCTTGTGAGTCCCGGGAGGTTTTCAGGAAAGCGAGTAGGGGTGAGTCAGTGGTGTGTGGCACCTGAGGGAGGCTCCCCAGCCGCTGCATGCAGGGCTCAGGGCTCGGGGCTCCTGTGCCCGGTTCTGGCCTCAGGGACACACGTCCCCCCACGTGCTCGCCTGGGTTCCCGGATGTGTCCTGCTCTCCTCAGCCCCGGGTTCTGGTCATGCTGCTCCCTCTGCCGCCAGACCTTCCACGTCCAGAGTCTCCCTTCCCACTCACTCCCGTCCAGGGACCCCTTCTCTGCAGCTGCCCCGCGGGGTGTGGCCCTGCAGCCACATAGGGCTGTGATCTGAGTTCATGTCCATCTCGCACTGACCTTGACCAGGACCCACAGCCACTTTGGCACCGGGCCCTGTGGGAGCTGCCGCTGACCTGCCCTCACGCCTCCCTCCTCTAGGGGGCGCTCAGGGCCCCACACTGCGAGGCGCTGCTCTGGCCAAGGGTCAGTGTCCTGTGGGGCCTGGGCAGCTGCGGGCGGGGCCACGGCTGCTCCTGCTGTGACCTCCTGTCCCACATGGGCCTCGGTTTGCTGCCAGTCAGGTGTCCCCGAGGGAAGAGTGACCGGGTCCCCTGTGTGCCGCCTCGTCCCCACACCCCATCCTCTCCCTGCTGCTAGGGACCTGCTGCATCAGCGTCCCCGAGTCCCCGAGGAGCCCATCCCTCAGCGACCCCCAGACCCTCTGCAAGAGGCTCCTGCCTCCCGCTCATCCTCCTCCCTGACTCCTCCCTGCCCGGGTCCTCCTCCACCTGCTGCAGGGGTGCTGGCTGCCCCCAGGGCTGGTGATTGGACACGGTGTTCCTGGTCTTGTCCCTCCTTCCAGGGAGCTACACCCCCCCCTGAGTATCNCTCTGGCCAAGGGTCAGTGTCCTGTGGGGCCTGGGCAGCTGCGGGCGGGGCCACGGCTGCTCCTGCTGTGACCTCCTGTCCCACATGGGCCTCGGTTTGCTGCCAGTCAGGTGTCCCCGAGGGAAGAGTGACCGGGTCCCCTGTGTGCCGCCTCGTCCCCACACCCCATCCTCTCCCTGCTGCTAGGGACCTGCTGCATCAGCGTCCCCGAGTCCCCGAGGAGCCCATCCCTCAGCGACCCCCAGACCCTCTGCAAGAGGCTCCTGCCTCCCGCTCATCCTCCTCCCTGACTCCTCCCTGCCCGGGTCCTCCTCCACCTGCTGCAGGGGTGCTGGCTGCCCCCAGGGCTGGTGATTGGACACGGTGTTCCTGGTCTTGTCCCTCCTTCCAGGGAGCTACACCCCCCCCTGAGTATCTGGTAACCTCATCATCCTCCCTCAAGACGCAATGCATACCTCTCCTCCTCTGGGAAGCCCTCCCTGAAGGCCTGCGTACCTGCTGTAAACCTCTAGTGCACCGCATGGCCCTGGCGGCTGCCTGTGCGTGTCCCAGCCCCGCCCCCGCTGACGAGCTCCTCCAGCGCGGGGACCCTGACCTGTTCCTCTCAGCACCCGGCCCCCAGCAGGGCTCAGAACTGGTTGGAGAAAGCACCTGCCAAGTCCCCCCTCTCCAGCCGAGACCCGCCCCTTCAGACGCCTCCACGTGCCTGGCAATGGGCGTCTGACGTTGTCCCTTGTTTATCCTTCTTCACCGTCCCTGAGGGAGAAACAGGTTCACACGGACAGGCCGGTGCGTCTTTACTTTGAAACACCCTGGGGGCTCTTGGTGTCGTGCTGCTGATCCTCGGAGCTGGGCTGTACCTGCGGCGCTCACGTGGGGAGAGGAAGAGCTTGGAGCCTGGGAGAGGCAGGTGCTCGTCTCCTTCCCCTGCCCACACTCCTCCCCCCCTCCCCCACTGACCCTCAGCTCCCTCCCCTGCATTTTGCTGCTCAGGGAATGTCACTGCAGGAGGCTGGTGGGTGTGGGCATCACCGTGGGGTCATGGTGGGGGGAGGGCAAGGTTCCCAAGGCTCAGATTCAGCTCCGTGTGTGTGGGGCTCAGGTGCAGGGTCGCAGGAGAAGCCCAGGGACCATGAGTGTGGCATCCACGAAGCCATACAGGTGTCTCGGGACAGCAGGGACAAGGTGAGGCTGGGTCCCCCCCCATCCCTGTGAGCCTGGGTGTGAGTTGGTCAAACCCACTCATCTGCACTTTCTGGCCTCGTGTTTGTATCCCTTCCAGACATGCAGTATTAACACGGGTCCATGCAGTGCTGGGCGCTGTGGGGGGAGGTCATGTGAGCAGCACGGCATCTGTGGGTTCCCTCTGGGGCCTCTCTGTCCCTCAGCTGTGGCAGGAACCCTCTGTCCACATCCAGGGATTGCAGGATCCACATCGAGAACAGGAGAGGCCCATCAGCACTGTCTACACTGAGGTCCACATGCCAGGCCTGTTCAAGATGGAGATTTAATTGGAAGAAGCAGGGAATCCAGCCTCTGGTGACACCTCTGATGTGTGTGTGAAGCCTGCACCCTGGTCCCGCCCCTCCCGCCGACTGCTCTGAGCAGGGATGGATTTAGCTGACTTTGGTCAGTCTCTCTGCAAACTCCTTATGCACAAGATTACCAGAGGACACACGTCATGGTAGATCGAGGGGGGGAACTGGGTATGCAAATCTATGCAAACCTGTGTCCAGTCCAGCTCAGCATCTGCTCCTTGGCCTCCCTGCACGGACCCCAGGCCCCCCCATGGACCACATGATTCTGCCTGTCAGAGACCTCAGCCTCTGGGACACAGTCATTACGAATTCACACCGTCCAGCCTAAACCAGGTCACCACCTCCCACAGTTAGTATGTGCTCGAGAGCTATTCACATAGTACTGGGACCCGCAGGGCTTGCTGAGCTGCGGCTCCGGGACAGGGACGGACCTCGTCGTTCTCACGTCCCTCACGCCCAGCGTCCTCATAGACGCTCGTGAGCTGGGACCCTTGTGCCCACTCTACGGACGAGACGCAGGAGACCAGAAAGGCAGCGCTCAAGGCCGCCCGAGCAGCTCCCCAGCCGGGGTGCAGCCCCAGGGCCCGTGTTCCAGGCCCCCGTCTGCTCTCCCGGGCCTGGGACCCCCTCCCTTCTTCCCGGCGTGCTGCCTCCTGGCCCAGCCTCCTGTTTCTCAGGGAAAGAGCAGAAGCTGGTAACTGACAGTGTCTCATTCTACCAGTGAACTTTTAACTGGCCGCTCGCTGGCCTCTGCGTCCGTCTCTCCTGTCCCCGTGGGGGACGCTGCACTCCTCGGGTCTCAGTAGGACCTTTCCCTCCACGCCAAGGCCCCTTCTCTGGGGACCTGCAGGCTGTGGCCTCCCCGCCTCTGCTCCTCCCGAGGACCCTGCCGGCTCCTTCCCTGCAGCCGGCACCCGCTCTCGTGCTCCCCCTACGACCACCTGATCCCGCACCTGGGCCCCACCTCACGGGGACCCCTAGAGCCCCAGGAGGTGACCCGCACGCGATAGCTGCCACCTCCACCCACAGCTGGTGCCGGGTCTCAGGAGATGGGCCACGCCCTGGACTCCTTGCTCCCTGCTCAGGGCCCCGGGCCCGGTGCCCCCGAGGCCTCAGGCCTGGTCCCAGAGCCTCAGCTGCCATCAGTTTAAGTTGTTGTCACACTTGAAAGAGGAAAGACGGAGACGCTGAAGACTTAGTTTCTACCACTTACTCAGGAGGAAACCGGACGAAGCCCTGGGTCGGCACATGTGGTTTCGGCTCTCCTTCCCGCCTGTTGGGGGTGGGGGGACGTCTCCCTCTCCTCACCCCTGCCCTGTGTCCTCTCCCCTCTCCCCAACCCTCCCAGCCCAGCTTCCCTTCTTGGAATCCAGGCCCAGGCGAGAAAGAGCAGGAGCTCAGCTCCCGCGGGAGGGAAAGAGAAGCAATTATTCCCTGTGTCATCAGGCCACGAAGCTGCACGTTCCGTTCGGGGGAGAGGCTGGAGCATTTCCCTGAGCCTAAGATCACCTCCTGGATGCACAAACCCTCTGTGCTCCGTCTCTCCCACCTTCACCCCCATGGGACCGGAGTCACCGACTACTTGCCGGAACTCGTAATCCAAGCAGGACAGAAGTGGGTCCCCAGGGTCCCTGCCTGTCCATCTCCCCAGCTCGGCCTGAAGCCCTGCCAGGAGCAGCTCGATGCCCCAAGATCAGAGGAAAGCAGGAAGCCTCAACTTCTGCAAAGGAGCACACACACCAGCCTCCAGCCTCTGCTGTGTGTGCATCAGAGCTAAGGCTCCCAGAAACATCCGGATTGCCATTGAGAGGAGGATTCTGTGTCTGAGAACAGGGCCAGCACCTGGCAAGGGGCAGAGCAGGGCTGTGTCTGAACTGTGTAGTAAATGCTCTGAAACAAGCCCCTTGTGCTCCAGGGTCTTATAACCTCACCCCTGCGGGTGGGCGGGGAGCAGGGTACGCTGAACTGCATGAACCACAGCAGCTGATGGAGGTGTGAGTAACCTCACTGCCCACAACCAGTGAGAGAATACCCCAAATGAAGTCTGAAATTATTCCTATTTTTAGCTTAGACCAGTCAGGGGCATGAGGTCTGGAGGTGAGTACACAAGACCACAGCGCCACCTCCGAGCCTCACAGAGCCCCCTGGCACCGAGGACCTACCCCACTCTTAATCCACTTTGTTGAGCCCGACTGGATGACCCGCCCTCCCTGCAGACCGGCTCAGAGCCTCCCTGCCCTCCCCAGGGCCTGGACGACAAGTTGTTACCTGTGTGTTAGATCCTACTGTTATGGTGACATGTCACTTCCCTTCCTGGTGGCCTCTGCCTTCCAATCTTGGCAAACTCACTTACTAGTCCAGGGAATTTTCTGTAGATTCCTGGGAATCTACAGACAAACATATAAATAACGTCTATACGAAGACTGGTGTTCATCTTCCTTTTCCAATCTACATCTCATTTTATTTATTTTTTCTGTCTTATCGCATGTGGTTAGGCTCCCCCGAGATGCTGCACAGCAGTGGTGAGCACAGCATCGCTGGCTCCTTCACGACATTAAGGGGAAAGTGATCTGTTTTCCTCCATTAACAGTTCTATTAGATGTTGGGTTTTTGTAAATACGTTTTATTATATTTGTCAGTTTCATATTCTCTACTTCCTTTTTTCTTATTTCATTTCTTCCACTGGCTCTTATTTTTATAGACTCATAAGATAAATGTCTAAATTATCGATTTGGAGCACTTTCTCGTTTGTACAATATCCTTTAGTCACATATTTCCTTACAAGCACCTCGTTAGCTTCTTTTCACACGTTCTCATATCTTGTATTTTCATTTCCATTCACTTCACATGTTTAAGTATTTCCCTTCAGACCCCCTCTTCCTCATGTGGGTTATGAAGAGTCGTTTCGTTTCATGGCTAAGTGTTTGGAAATGTCCTGTCATCTTTCTGTTACTAAATTCTACTCTAGTCCTACTACAGTCAGAGGAAGTCTATTACTTGAGTGCGTGAAAAGCCGTTGGCGTCTGTGTGGTGGCCCAGGACAGGACGGAGTCTGCTGGTAGGGCTGAGCGGTCTCCAAGCATCAGCTAGGTCAAGGTCAAGTTTACTGCTCCGTCGTCTTCTGATTTCCCAGCCACTCGCCGCACTGCGGGACAGGGGTGCTTGGCTCTGATGGTGGCGGTGTAGCCTCTGTCTCCCCTCAGTCTGTCCGGCTCCGCCGCGTGTCTGCTGCCCTGTTGTCAGGTGGGGGCATGTTCAGGGTTCTTCTCACTTCCTGCTGCATTGACCTTCCATTATCGTCTGCCGTTCTTCTGGATCCCTGGTAACTTCCCAGGCTCTGAGGTCTACTTCTTCTGATTAGACCTTTCTTTGGATTAGTGTTTGTGTGATCCAGTGGCTCATTTTATTTGTCACCTACCTGGGCCGTGGTGTCAAGAATTGAGGTCAGATATTATTCTGGATGTTTCCATGAGAAGATGTTGGATGGATAAACTCTGAGTAAAGCAGACTCCGTCCACAATGTGAGTGAGCCACACCTAATCAGTGGAAGACTGGAATAGTGCAAAGTCTGCCCTCCCCTGAGGAAGAAAGACTTCTGTAGCAGAGGGAGAGGGTAGTGGGCCTGCAGCAATGGCTCCTCCCTGTGGGTCCAGCCTGGTGACATTTGGACTTGAACCCCAGCAGCAGATCTGCCCTTGTCTCCACCCAGCCCCCAACCCTGTGGACCCTAGTCCTGCCAGCCTCTACAAGAATGTGAGCCAAACCCTTACAGACATCTGTCTAGATCTGTAAGCATCCCTTCAACCCGGTTTCCTGTTGGGAGCCATTCTGAGCCCACTAGTCGAGGAAGCTCTTGGTGAGGTTAAAACAAGTTTGCACAATCTCTTGCCATCAGATGATGACCAATATCCACCCCCACTCAGTTATTTTTGCTTGACCACCGACCCCCAAGTTACCTTGTTGATCAACATCGGAGTGCCTTGTCCCCTTATTCTGGCCCTGGTATGATGATTGCACCTTGTGAAGGAACTTATTGTGGGAACAACTCCCTTTATGATTATGGGAACAGACATCATGTCCCCGGCAGGTCCTGTTTCCCTCCATACTTGCCCTTGAGCTATGAACAGGGTAATGACCCTTATATGAAAGATTGACCTTTCCACGTACAATTCTGTTTCTACCATTGCATTAGTCCAAGAGGTTCATACAGCTCAACCTGTAAATCAACTAACCAAAAATGTCTCTCATGCCCTAGCTATTCAAGAAACCATAGACAAAAACCTAGACACAAGGTAAATGCACTCGAAGGGGCTATTCTATGTATTGGAAATGAGCTAAACTCTTTAAAGGTATGGTTGGCTCTCCCGTGCCATAAGGAATATAACTGGACAATCAAGTCTTGCCTGGAGACAAAGAGCCTAACTTAGAGAAAAGGAACAGATAAGGGCCAACATAAGTTACCACATATCCGTTTGCTAACTGGTGATGTCCAGCAGCCCCTTCCCTGAGGCCTACATTCCACAAACACCTTCCCTTACCCTGCAGCTGTGATGAGGATGGATAAGAGTATCTACAAGCCTATGACTTCATCTTACTGTTACTATAATGTGAACATCCTGTCATTTTCTTAGTTACTCAACCTACTATAATCGGGGCAGTTCTGCAAGAATATTTCTGTGAAACCTGTTTCTGTACATTTTCCAAAAACATCTTATCACAGAGAACTATCCATTGGAGAAATTCCTTTTTCTGATGTGATGTTAACAGTTGACCTATAAATAAAGACACCAAAACAGACAGCACAGAGATGCCTGCCTGGTGATCAGAAAGAATCTTGGGGCTCTCTCACTCCCTCCATTGCCGACACTTTCCATCCTTCAGGGACCCCTGGACCGGCCAGAGCCAGCCTCCGGCAGATTCCCTGGAGAATCCTGAATAATACCGACGGCATATCTGTTCCCATCATTTTATTGTGAATCCAGCTCTATGGAGCCAACAGGGAAGGGTGGCTACAGAGGGAGGTGACCCCCAGCCGCGTGTGCAGCTGCCCGTCCTCGTCCCCGGCTGTGGCGCCCCCCCCCAGCCTCTGCCTTTCCTGTGCCTACCCCACCCTGGCGCCCACACCGAAGGCCCCACACAAACCGCTCTCCCTGCTCTGCACTCGGGGCTTTGGTCTCCAGGCGGCTGACGTTCCCAA